CACATCACAGCAGCTGAGTGGATATATGGATATATACATATATATATTAATATTCATGCGGCTCATAAAGTGAGCAGAGAAAAAAAACGCACAACTGCAAAGATTTGCATTTGAAATTGCTGTCAGCAGCCGAAACACACAACTGCAGTGGCAACTGGCTGGGGCAGCTGGCTGGGACGAGGGGAAAGGGGGGGGGCAGTCGCTTTTAATAACTGAAATGGGGATCTCTGGCTGTTGTTGTGTATTATTGGCAAAATTCATAAATGGGCTGCGCGGCGGCGAGTGCGTGAGTGCGTTTAGGTTTAATTATAAACGAAACAGACGAAAGCAGAAAAGTCGTCTCGAGACAGGCGGGCGCTGCAGCATATGAATATGAATATGAATACGAATGCGAGTGAGTACTCAATCGCGAGTTCAAAAAGGCCCCCAGTTCTACCTATATATACATATATACATATATACATATATACATATATATATATGTATAGTCAGCCAACATCCATCAGTTGATTCTTGGCCCGGACTGTTCGACGTGCCCAAATTGCATTTGCATTCGAGTTATTTGCGCTCATTTCACGTTATGAAATTTTTATTTCGCACATTTGCGCAACGCATTTTCGTGCCGCTTTCCGCTTGCCTCGGCGGAATAGGGGGGAAAATAAAGGGGGAAAAGCCAGCTACAAAAAAAAAACAGACTGAAAGTCTGCTGTTGCCTTTTTGGATTTAGTTGTAATTAAATCAATGGCAGACGAGTCCACATTAAAGCGGATTGTCTACCCCGACCACAAAGGCGCCCAGCCCCTCCCCCCCTTACCACGCCCCTCTCTGATTTCAGAGTGGCCCCAACCAGACTCGAGCTTGGACTGCAATTAGCGCACGCAAAACTTTAGCTTGAAAAACTATTTCAAGTTCCTCAGATCCGTAGCTTAAATTTTGCAAGTTCTACGAAGCAAAAAAACAAAATGAAATACAACTTCAATTCTTGTGGCTTTATAAAAAAGTTTTTTGAATAAAATTTAACCACAAGCAAGTTTCATCTTTGAGTTGTGAAAACTTGAATGCACTCTTAATTAAACTCTTTCTAGTCCGAAAAGCATTAAAGCGTTTCGTGGGCTACAAATTATAGGAATTCGTTTACAGAAGTAATAATAATAATAAAATAACTTAACATAAAATAACTTAACATAATATAACTTAACATAATATAACTTAACATAGTATAACCTAACATAATATAGCTTAACATAGTATAACTTAACATAATATTAGTTAACGTAATACAACATAATATAATATAGCTTAACATTATATAACTTAACATAATATAACTTAACATAATATTACTTAACATAATACAACATAACATAATAAACCTTAACATAATATATCTTAACATAATATTACTTAACATAATTTAACTTAACATAATATAACTTAACATAATATTTCTTATGTTCAGAGATTATTTTTGGACTATTAAAAACAATTTTAGAATTTAAGCTATGTAGTCTTAAGGTCTAAATTCTAGTTTCTGCGAACTCGCAAAATGTTTACCCCCATTCCTTGATTATAGAATAGAATTCGCAACTCAGCCAAAGTCTGACAAGCTCGCTTTTCGAATTGAATTAAAATATTATTCGCTTGGAATTAGAAATACGCCAACTGAATAAAAATGGATAAGCCCAGCCCCGACCCGCACCCATCAAAAGTTCTCACTTCTATTGTGCGCATTGTGCAGGAATCAGTTTTGGGCTCTGTCATAAATATATCATAATCGCAGGCAGGCATCAGCCGAGTCCGAGAGTCCACCACTCTCTATGTGAACTCTATGAATAGCGAGCAACTGATGCAAATTCCATGCCAGTTAAGCGAATTGTGCTTTCAATCTGGCGACTGACCACCCGGACACAATTGACGCCGTCAGCGGACTCCAAAGGAGATGCCACAGCGCTTTGTTATTCAATCCGGGCGAATGGGTGGGCGTCACCAGAAGTGCATAGCAGAGCATAGTTTGTGTAAAGTAATCAAAATGGGGCTGTGTACACTGAGCGAAAATCTAACTGCATTTACAAAGTGTTAAAAATCAAAAAATAAATATGGTCTACTATATCAAATATATAATGGATAAGAATAATGTAGATTTGTAAGTCTTATTTTTTGGAAATTTGTATAAAAGCGAAAATCGAATTACATTGACAAAATGTTTTAAAGAATATGTTCCCCTATTTTAAATATATTTAAATGGATCTTTTAAAGTCTTAAAGTTTTGGGACATTTGTATTTAACAAATGTAAAAGTTTATTGAAGTTACTTTAAAAGCTATTCAAGACAGTGGAAAGAATACGTGCGGCAACGCTTGTGGAACATGTGTGGAAAATGAAGGGAATTGATTTGAAATTTAATAAAAATGTAAGAAAACTTTTACTTGACACTCGCTAGTATATTAAGTAATATACCAGCAAGTATTAAGTAAGTCATTATTTTAACATTTTTATTAGCATTAGCCAGGCAATACTATTCGAATTATAGCTCTCTTTTCTCTCAGTGTATGGAGCACTTGTGTAAGTCCTCCGTATTACGTCAAGAGAACATTTGTTTCTTTCGCTTGGGCCAACTTATTGTTCTCTTGTGCTAACAGCTATAGTTAATACTTATAGCAACAACAACCACTATTTTTCGGTGGGGCACTTGAATTACACTTTGTCAAATCCCCCTCCTCCCCCGCCATATCCCTTCCCCCCGCCCCCCCCTCAGCTAACCGCATCTCGCATTGCTGTGCGATGTTTTGCGGTGGTAATTGCACGCGCGCTGAAGCATATCGTATGTTGCAGGTTTCCGTTGCTGGAAAACCGGGAGAAACGACCTAAAATAGCGGCGCAACCAAATGCGGAACATGATGGGAACAAAAAGCAACTGTTGGATGGGAAAACGGGGCAGGATGGATGGGTGGAGGCAGGGGCAGGGGCAGGGACAGGGGGGGGGCTGGGTAGTTGAAGTTGAGGCCTCGTCAATATTGGCCGCGACAGCTTTTGTTGTGTGCACGAATTGTACGTGTTGCAATCTCCGATAGATACAACAGCTACAAAGCTACAGATACAGATACATTTGCAGTCAAAGCTACAGATACAGATACATTTACAGCTACAGCTACAGATACAATTGCGGAGCGTGCGTGAGTTTGTTCTTGTTCTTCTTTCACGCTTGCTGCACCGATTCGAACTGGGACCCGCTCTCGCATGTAGAAACATGTTCTTTGTCATGCTGGCTGCCTCATTTTGTATCTGTATCCCGCTCTTCCCCTCCCTCTCCCGTTTGTATCTGTATCTGCGCCAAGTGCATGCCACCCGTGCGCCCTTTGGCCCCGTTGGCAGCCAACGAAATGCGCCATTAGGGCGCAACCGTGCATAATTACATCTGTAAATGTATTTGTATCCCCGTATCTGTATCTGTACTCTTATTTGTATCTGTATCTGTATCTGTGCGCCCCTCCTTCGTTTTTTTGGGCAACTCTAATTACACGCGCTATGATTGATGTTCGCTGTGCATTTCTATAGTTCCCAATTTCCCGCTGGATCGCTAGCATTGCTTTTAAGCTGCTTTTGAAAATAGTTTTTATTTTCCTCTGTTTTTTTTTTTTATTATTCTTTTACATAAATTCTTACGCTGGGAATTCCCAGCAAGCAGCTGCACTGCACTCGCTTACTTACATCAAATTTAAAGCTCATAAATCTTCACAAAAGCACACAAATCTCTCTCTCTATATATATATAAATATATATATATTATATATTTACACACAATGCGAATGCAGCCCCTTTTTTGATCCCTTTTTAATTTGTCACTCGACGCGTCAATTATATAAATCGATTCTACATGCCGCAAGATTCCCAAGCATAAATAAGAACTGAAGAAGCTAATCGACTGATCTTAACTACGAACTTCTCTTAACTAAACTAAACTATTTTAAATGTTTATTAAATTATATTAAATGACAAGGAAATTAAAGTGTTCTTTCAGAGCAAAGAAATCGCCTAAATCAGAAATTATCCAGAAATTAGCATCTGAAAATGTTTCTTCTAAGTTTATTCTTTATTTTTACAGAATTCTCAAAAATATGTTCCAAGATATATTTAATTATCTTGCACTTATCTATGTAATAACTTCCGATGGTTAAAAAAAAATAGTTATAAAAAAATATGTTCCAATATATATTTAATTATCTAAAACTTATCTATGTATTAACTCCCGATAGTTGCTTAATATATAGATAAGTTGAAGAAAATTAAACTTATATTAGAATATATTTTACAATATTATTCACTTTAGTTAAAATATTTCTATAAGAAAGATAACTTTTGAGAAATTCTACTTTGATCGAAAAACTTAGTTGAGGCCCAAGAAAAGTATCTCAAAATAATTCTTATATTAAGCCCAATCCAATATAAATGCGAACAGCTTTGCCTAGCTGATAATACCCCACACGAAAAAAGAGTATTGAATAGAATTTATGAATGTCAAATATTTTGGTTTGGTCGTCGTCTTTTTTTCTCAGCCATTCCCTTTTGGCTAAAATAGACTTGAAATATTTGAAAATAATGTGTGAACTTCTCTTGGCTCGTTTCAGCTGCAGCAACAACAATAAAACTGGAACCCCCGACTCCAACATAAATTCCAGGGTATTTGTGTGAGCAGAGAAATGGGCAGAGATGATTTCCTGATGTCGACAGATTATTGATTTTGTGCAAGTGTATTAAAAGCATTGCTCAATACACAGTGAAAAATAGTCGAGTGATTGCGTAACGCATAAACGTGTTAACAATAAATAAATAAATAAAACTGAAGTGAAAAAAGTAAATAAAATAAAAGAAAAACAGTTGCAGCTGCCTTTGCGGCAACTTTGGTTAATTGATTTCTGTTGCTGTTGTTTCTTGCAATGCGCCGTTTCAATGCCAACAACAACAATTACATTAACAACAACAATTTGCTGATACCCAAACAACAACAACAACAGCAACTGTGCGACAATCGCGTGCGCGTTTCGTGCGCGTTTTTTGGCGCGCGCGTTTTTTAATTAATTCGAAGCGTTTTTGTTGTTTTTGGCCCTTTTCGGTTCGTGCGTGCGTGTGTGCGTGTATGTATCTGTGTCCAGCCGGAAATCAGCAATTGAATTTACAATAAGACGCTTTCAAGGAGCCCAAGTGGAGCAAAAACCCATAAAAAACAGTAGCCAACCAAGAAGAAGAAGAGAAAGAAACGCAGCAAGAGGAAGCAGCCAAAATGTTCGCGGGCATCAGAAAAAGACTGGCACGCAAGTGAGTAAAGCCCCCAAAAAACCCCCCACCCCTCACTGCTCCCCCCTCTCTAAAGATTACGTTTTATCACTCTTTGCTTTTTTTGTTGTCAACCATTTGGAGCTGCTTTAATTTGATCACAGTTGTCCCTTTCCAGAAATACCCTAACCGAAAAGAAAATGAACAAGATTTGAGCATCTAAACTGGATAGGGGTATTCCCTTCTTAAAACTTGCATAATACCTACAGCTTTTTTTAAGAGCTTATTCAGTAGATATTGATTAAATAAAACAAATTTGAAAATAATTAATTCCTGAAGAGATAGAAGTGTTTGAAGCTTACAACTCGATTATTAGCAGGAATGCCCTTGATGAAGCCTATATATCGATAACAAAAACAAAGGCTGTATTTTTAAAATACTAAACAGGGCTAGTCTTGTGTTTCTTTTAGGTTTTAAGATTATTTTGCTATGCTTCTGGGAGTTTTCCTAAAAGTGCTACAACTATTGGAATTTAAATCGATATATATCGATAGCAAAAAGAAACGCTGCATTCTCATGATACTAAGCAACAGATCTTAAGGCATACAAAATGCGAATTCTAGGAACAAGTCTTGTGTTTCTTGTGGGTTGTGTGATTATGGAAAGACGCTCTTGTGAATTATCCCAAAAGTCCTGCTATTCTTAGTACTTAAATCGATATATATCGATAACTAAAAGGAACGCTGTATTCTAAAGATACGAATGATCTGATTTTAGGGCATTCAAAACTTTAGATGCCTCTAGGAATTTTCCTAGAATATAGCCGATATTTTTGAATATAACCCGATAAATATCGATAACAAAACGAAACTCTGTATTCTCCAGACATTATAAACCTAATTTTAGGGCATACAAAATTCGAATTGAAGGGACAAATCTTGCATTTTTTTCTTGATTTTATCGATGTTGTCCCTTCGTTTTCATGGCCCAATTCCGCTGTTAATGACTTGCGCGATAAAACTCAGCGCCGGGGATCGGGCGGGGCCGCTTTTCAATTTGCAAAAAAAAAAAAGCAGGAAAATGAAAAAAGCTGCGCGCTGTTTTTAACAGAATTGTATACTATTTGTCTAATTAATTTTGTAGCGCAGCTTGAGACGAGCTGGGGCTAAGCTGAAAATGGGAGCTCAATTGCGCAGCACTTGAGACGCTTCGAAATTGGGGGACACCTACAGCTCGCCCCCTGTTCCCCCTAGTCCCCTCTTCTCCCCTCTTTTTAAGCCAGTCAGCATCATGAATGCGCCCCTCGCCCCATGTGACATTGGGGCTTATGAATTTGCTGATTTGCGCAAATGTTGCACGTTTCGACAACAATCATCATTCCTCATCATTTTTATAATGATTTTTTTTACTATTTTCTGAGCGGTTTTTTTCGCTGATTTTTTTTTTGTAAATGAGCCAATTAGGTTTAAAATCTTTATTATTAGCGGAACCGGTTTTGCGTTTATCCATAAACAAAATTGAATTATGCCACAAATTGGGCGCTTAACTGCCTCACGGCGCGTGTTTTGGCCCCGGGCAGATCTTCCCAATCGTTTCTTAGCTCTTTCGCTCAATGCGAATCCTCTGGCTCTGGCCTGTCCGCACTCATTCAACATTTTCGTGGGAATTTTCATGCATCGTGAAGTTGTTGTGAAACACTAATGAAAGCCATAGAAAGTTGCCAAGAGTGCCAAAGAATAGACGCGTAATTGCGCAGAGCGTGGCTGCAAATGATGGCCTAAAACCCATTATAAAGCCAACATATGAGAACTCTTGAACTGACTTTGGGGATTAGAGAAATAGTTTTTCATGAGGAATCATTGGTACCAGGGATTCACATTCGATATTCGGCAAAATACGTTGGCATTTACAACTCATTTTCAAAGATCTGTGAGAGATTTTCCACGGCCAAGGCTGCGTGGAATACCCGCTATTCATATCTTATAGAGACATAGGTCAAAATTTCCCACCCCCATAACTCGGTCAAAACTCAACCGATTTTCATAAGGTTTGGCTTTTTATCCATGGTTTTGTGTCTAGATCAATTTTGCATCAAAATCGGGCAACATATTTCCTGGTCAACATTCATGTCAAAATGGTACCCCCTAAAACCGTTGTATACATAGGTCAAAATTGCCCACCCCCATAACTCGGTCAAAACTCAACAGATTTTTAAAAAGTTTGGCTTTTTGTGCATCGTTTGGCCTCTAGATCAATTTGGCATCAAAATCTAGCAACATGTTTCCTGGTCAAAATTCATGTCAAAATCTTACCCCTAAGATTCGTATATAGCCACAGGCCAAATTTTCCCAACTCCATATCTCGGTCAAAACTCAACAGATTTTTAAAAAGTTTGGCTTTTTGTGATTTGTTTGACCTCTACATCAATTTTGCATCAAAATCGGGCAACATGTTTCCTGGTCAAAATTCGTGTCAAAATCTTACCCCTAAGATTCGTATATAGCCACAGGTAAAAATTTCCCACCCCCATAACTCGGTCAAAACTCAACCGATTTTCATAAAGTTTAGCTCTTTTTGCATGGTTTGGCCTCTAGATCAATTTGGCATCAAAATCTGGCAACATGTTTCCTGGTCAAAATTCATATCAAAATGATACCCCCAAAAACCGTTGTATACATATGTCAATATATCCCATCCCCATAGCTCGGTCAAAACTCAACCGATTTTCAAAAAGTTTGGCTTTTTGTGCATCGTTTGGCCTCTAGATCAATTTGGCATCAAAATCTAGCAACATGTTTCCTGGTCAAAATTCATGTCAAAATCTTACCCCTAAGATTCGTATATAGCCACAGGTCAAAATTTCCCAACTCCATAGCTCGGTCAAAACTCAACCGATTTTCATAAAGTTTAACTTTTTGTGCATGGTTTGGCCTCTAAATCAATTTTGCATCAAAAGTTGGCAACATGTTTCCTGGTCAAAATTCATGTCAAAATGGTACCCCCAAATATCCTATATAGCCACAGGTCAAAATTTCCCACCCCCATAACTCGGTCAAAACTCAACCGATTTTCATAAAGTTTGGCTTTTTGTGCATGGTTTGGCCTCTATATCAATTTGGCATCAAAATCTGGCAACATGTTTCCTGGTCAAAATTCATGTGAAAATGATTCCCTCAAATATCCTATATAGCCACAGGCCAAATTTTCCCAACTCCATAGCTCGGTCAAAACTCAACCGATTTTCAAAAAATTTGGCTTTTTGTGCATGGTTTGGCCTCTATATCAATTTGGCATCAAAATCTGGCAACATGTTTCCTGGTCAAAATTCATGTGAAAATGATACCCTCAAATATCCTATATAGCCACAGGTCAAAATTTCCCAACCCCATAACTCGGTCAAAACTAAACCGATTTTCATAAAGTTTGGCATTTTGTGCATGGTTTGGCCTCTATATCAATTTGGCATCAAAATCTGGTAACATGTTTCCTGGTCAAAATTCATGTCAAAATCTTACCCCTAAGATTCGTATATAGCCACAGGTCAAAATTTCCCACCCCCATAACTCGGTCAAAACTCAACCGATTTTCATAAAGTTTGGCTTTTTGTGCATGGTTTGGCCTGTAAATCAATTTTGCATCAAAATCTGGCAACATGTTTCCTGGTCAAAATTCATGTCTAAATGGTACCCCCAAAAACCGTTATATGCATAGGTCAATATTTCCCAACCCCATATCTCGGTCAAAACTCAACAGATTTTCATAAAGTTTGGCTTTTTGTGCTTCGTTTGACCTCTACATCAATTTGGCATCAAAATCTGGCAACATGTTTCCCGGTCAAAATTCATCTGAAAATGCAAATTCATCACGTGTCAAATTCCTTTAAGGCATGTTTTCTATTCATTCTTCTATCCTGGCAGAGTGGTTAATACTCTAATAAATAATACGTATCACTCTAATACACGGATAAACCATATAACATACATGTACATCTAAATATATAGATATATATATTTCTTGTTACTTCTAAAACAAGCTCAATTTATTGTTTGCCTTTTTTGCTACTTTATTCTCACTTTTCTTGCCCATTTTAAATGCTCCACTTTAGAGTTTGGCATAGAATAAACATCAGATGCTCCAGTATCCAACTATCTACCTGAATAATTCACACCCACATCCAAAAAAAAAATCTTTAAAAGCCCCTTTTTGGTCAGATTAGTGTGGCAGATGACAAAGGCGAGGGCTTTTCTCGGCTTTTTTGGTAGTTGCCGCTGTTTGCGAGTCATGATGTGCTAATTATTACAGAAAAGTGCAGCCAAATGCCTTTTAGCACTTAACGTTGACTGGGGACGGGGGGGGGGGGGAAGTGGCCCCGTAAGGCCAGATACTTTGGGCTCAGGTGCTAAAAACACCTGTGCAAATAGAAAACGAAAACTGAGACGGAGCCCGAGGCCGAGGCCTAAACTCCAGCACTTGGCACTTTGTAGGTGGCAGCTCTCATCTACATAAAGTCGCATGTAGATACATATTTACAGTTCGGGGATCGGACTCCCGATAAATATATGTATATGTACATATATATATATATATTTATTTTCAGCAGTCATGTATGTGCCACAAACGGTTGAAGCTTCAACATCTTGTGAGCCCACACACACACAAAATTTTCATAGGAATTAAACGCTTAGAAACGCCTGCGCTTCGGGTTTTTGGGTCTTATTTCTTTTTTTTTTGGGGGGGGCGCGGCACGGCAAATGTGGCAATCAAGCGCGACTAAAGTTGAAAAATAATTACACGAAAAGACATAACACACTTTATGCCAACAACAACATGAAACATTAAACATTTTATGTGGGCAAGCGCATTAAACTTGCCTGGCCAAGCCGAGCGCAGCCCCACAATTCGTGCGATAACCCCTGAAAAAGCTGATGAATTCTCACGCATATAAAACCTAGCTAAAGTCTAGGCTGTTGCTGTGATGGGATGTACTATGTGTACGTAACATATAATTACACGCATCCAAAAGTATCTTGGAAACTAACATT